GAGATTGAAAGTAAGAGTTCTGGGGTGGATCTCTAGGGGTTCAAAGTCTAACTCTCCCTGTAGGTACACCTGTCATCTTGAGGATAGTCGCTCCCTGGTTTCTGAATGTCCTCGATATTCTACCAGGAAGATGACAACAGTGGTGATATATCTCCTTTACTTGCTGGTAGAGTGAGTGAAGAAAACACGTAAGTGTTTAAACAGTGCCATTCAAAAAATACCAGCTACAGATTTCTATATGTCCCACAGGAAATGCATCTCAAATTAAATTAATCTCTATCACATTCTAAGGAGACATTTCAGTGAATTTGAGGGAAGGAGAGAGAGGTTCCAAATAACTATGAAATAGGAAAGGGCGTTTAAAGAGTGCAAGAGAAAGAGGGAGAGAGAAGGAAGTAATGTTCTGCTCTTCTACATGTTCTATGTTTCATTCCATGCATAGGGCATGAAATGTGTAGACTTTATTTGTTAAGATTGTGGTGTCTGGAATCTAAAAGTGAACCCCATAGGCTCACAGTTTGAAAAGATAGCTCCAAGCTGATGACACTATTTTTTTTTTTTTTTGGTGAGGAGTGGGGCATGTTTAGAGACTTGGGAGGTGGGGCCCAGTTGTTGGAGGTGGCTCACTGGAGACAGTTTTTGGATATCATATTGTCTCCGGTTACTTCTTGTCCCACTTCACTTCCTGGCCAGTCATGATGTGAATTATTGGGCCACAGTGTCACCACCATGATGGATTGAACATTCTGGAACCTTGAGCCAAAAAATAATACCCCCCACAACTTGTTTTTGCCGGATGTTTTTGGTGACAGTGATGCAAAAGTAACTAAAAGAGAGACAAAACAACAGACAAAAATCCAGCTCAACAAAGAGTATATCTAAGCACTTGTCAGTTGTGCTGAGCACAATTCCTTCTTTTTCCTGTTCCATGTTTCAGATGCTCAAGTGAGTCCAACTTCCCAGAAATATCTGAAGCAGAAGCTCAAGTTGATTGCCAACAACAAACCATTAGAAGTGGCTTTGGTTCTGGGTATGGTGGCACTTTGAAGATTGAAGCAAGGGGATCATGAGTTCAAGGCCAGCCTGAATACATAGCAAGTACCAGTATAGTCTGAGCTATGTGGTGAGATCTTGTCTCAGGGAGCCCAGGCTTGGGGCACAACTCAGTAGTCTGAGCCCTCTATTTAGCATGTGTATGTGCTGGGTTTAGTTTCCAGCACTGGGGGGAAAGTGGCTTTAGGAAAGAAACAAAGGGCTGCAAATGAAAGCTAATACTGTTTTAGCTCTGAAGAGGGCAGTATGCAACCAAGGCCAAACAGGTACTCATAATTTCCTTCCAGGGCCTAAAGGCAAGAAAGCCCTCAGGAGCCCAGGCAGCTTGGGCTCCCAAGAGCTTATTTCTTGAAAGACAAACACATCTTCACACATGAAATAGGATTCTTGAGGTTTGAGCACAGTTACACACTGCCTCTCAGAGGGACACAGCGCAAACTGATATGAAGGTGGTTATGCAAGATGGATAGGAGGGTTCCCATTTTCCTTTCCTGTGCTCAACCTCTGGTCTGCTCGCTCAGATCAACCTCTATGAAGTTAAACAATAGCACAGCCTCCCAGATGGTGTCCGATGTTTGCAGAAGAAAGTGTTTCCTTTTCTTCTAAGACTCCGAGTACAGAGGCTTCTGCTGCCTAAAGCAAAATAGTCTCAAAAACATCCTTTGCACAGAAAGAAAATATGGGAATGGAGATCTTAGCTCCTGGGATGCATTTATCAAACCAATCACAGTAATTATAATTAGAACACAAACGAACTGAATGCTAAGCATGAAATACATTTTCAGAAAACCTGAACACTATGCAATTAAGCCCTGTGTGGTGGCATTTCCAGGTATGCCATTAATGCACGGGGGGTGAGGGGAGAGTTGGAACAGATTCTATTCTTAAATATCTCTTGCATTAAAAAGTCTGCTTGCATTAAAGGTTTCAACCAGAGTTGAAGAGGAGAAATAAGGATGCATATCGTGAACTGCTACATGCAGAGCTGTAAGACGGATGTCAAAGGGTCACCCAAATGGCTACTTAAGCCATCGTTCTTTGACACCCTGTGAAATATGTTCATTGGACACCCATTCAATCCAGGTCTATGCTAAGAGGACAGGGAGAGCTTCAGGGAAGGTGGAGCTCTAATTCTTCACCTCCATTTTGGGAATGCATTAGACTACGGTGTTAGTAATCTTCCCATGCTTCCTATTACTCGGAGAAGAAAGATTAGTCTTCTAAAACACTTCATTATATTTATTTACTTATTTATCCACTTGTTTATTATGTGCTATGGGGTCACCACATATGCTGTAAAGGACAGCTTGGAGGGGCTGATTCTCCCCTTCCGTTGTGTGGCTCCCAGGCATGGAGATCAGGTTGTCAGGCTTGGTGGCAAACACCTTTACCAACTGAACCATCTTGGCAGCCCAGAAAGTCCATTCTAATATATTAGTTTCCTTTCCTACCTTGACACTGCAATGCCTGTCTTTCATTTTACCTTGACTTACATGATCTATCCTTTGCTAAACCATGAGTCTTTAGGTCAGAGATTTTATCTCCTTATCCTGGGTCTCCAGCATCCAGCATATCACCCAGTGGCAGAACAGGTGCTTGGAAAATGTTGAGTGAAGAGTGACCTGTACAAGAGGTAATTAAGTAAAGACATAAACATTGAACAAGCCACTCTTCTGCACCTAGCTCAAAACCACTTCAGATAACCCTTCTCTTCTGCTTCTCCCATGCCAGAGTCAGCCATGTCATTCCTGTGATGACAATCCAGGACAGCGTTAGGGAAAAGGCAGCTTTTCATAGAACAGCTTAGGACGGGCAATCCAGGTAGAAAGAGATGCACACAACACGTAGTGGTGACTGTGTAAAGCACGGTGGATTTCCTTAGAACACACCCTTTCAGTAAAAGCCCTGCATTCATTCTGTGATCCTGTTTAGGAGAGTGGGTATCCAATGACAGACTTCAGACCATGGCCTCTGGCATCTTGCCATATAAAAAGTATTAAAAAAAGACTGTAAATAGAGTTGCCATGTAACCTTCACCTAGTTCTCCTGTGGGGAAAGGTAACGAGGAGGACATTAGTGTTGGTACGATTCACTTACCTATTTCAGACATCGTTTTAAATGCACGTGTGTGTTGTGTGTGTGTGTGTGTGTGTGTGTGTGTGTGTGTGTTTGTGTGTGTTTGCATACTTTACATTTCTGATAACAGCTCCTTGCTTTCCTTCATCCCAGAGACCACTAGGGCAGGGGCCCAGGTTGATCCTTTCCAGCACAGGACTTGGCTCCCGCTGGCACCTGTGCTGCTTATATTCATCTCTTAAGCAGTGCAGGTGACTGACAATCGTCTGGCCACATGCACACTTTAACTTGTCAGCGAGTGTGCAAACGGCAGGAACAACATTTTAAGGCAGAAAAGCGAAGCATGAAGCATCTAATAATTTAGAGCCAAAAGTTGGCCATGTTTCCCAATTGTGAATTGACAAACAGGCTAATTGCTCCAAAGCCACCCTAGAGTTCAGCTGTAATCGTCGGAGAGCAGTTTTGGGGACCCTATACCTTCACCCCTGGGAGGGGGAAGTGGGAAGTCTTAGAAGGTCCCCCAGGGCGCCTCCTGTTGCTACCCCCACTTTCACCCCTTTCTTCCCCAGGGCCGGACTGTTTCACCCCGTCTCCAGGCAACAGCCAGGCGCGCCAGGCGGAACG